TTTGTCTAAGTCCATAATACTTTAGTCAGATCCTGAGCTCATTGAGGTCAGTATTTGGGAACTCGAGCTCGTCGCTGGGGAATTCGCCTTCTGTCTTTAGTTCTGTCTTCGAGATCGTTGACTGCTTCGCACTTAACTCTGATTGACCATGTGTTGACGCGTGAAGTTAGAGTTGGTCCCGAGCTCGGTGCATTCGAGGTCGGGCTCATAACTTGTCGAGTTTGGTTGATTCCTGAGCTTGGTGTTTTCCCGACCTCAGTGGTCGAGGTCGGGGTCAGCTGGCCTTTCGGTCCTTAGCTTATTCGTTGCCTGGCGATTTGTCCCGACCTTGGTCGATCGGGGTCGGGGTCGGTCTCAGTTGTGGATTTAGTACTTTTACGTGCTCCGGAGTAGATCCGTGATGCTTTATGCGGTGATTATGATACCCCTGGGGTATATGGGAATATACTCCATCAATAGTAAAAAGATGAAACTCTATGTTGTAAAACCCGAACCGGACCGCCCGGAACCCGGTCAACCGGCCAATGATACGGTCCGGCTGGGCATCAAACCGTTAATGTGGTCAAAACTGGATTTAACGGGCGACCCAGTGAGACCCGCGATGGACTGAACCCGCTCTAAACTCGGAAAAATCCAAAAACCGGAGAATTACGTAGGCTGCGGGAATCAAACTCACCCCAACCGCAGCACAGCTGTGTTCCCGACCACTGAGCTACGCCAGCTCCTTGGTGAAATTAAGTCGCTTAGCTATTCTTATACACTAGTATTTTCACCCGTGCGTTGATACACTAGTATCTTCCCGATCACTGATCACTCTTATTAATTGATATTGATGATATTGATTGCATATAGACATTTCTTATTCATGATAGTTTTTGAACATGTACTTAAATCACAACTATAAAAAGAAAATGTTTTTATAGCATTACAAATAATTTGTCTAAAATTATTTCTATGTTGTAAAAATCAAATCGGGAAGCGACCCGGTTACTGAGCGGGTCACGGGTAAACCAGGACCTGGGTGGGTCAACTCGGTCAATACTAATATAATAATAAATAATATAACTATATATAAAACTAAAGTAAAAAAATAAATATATTCGTAACAATCAACTAATGATAATATGGAGTATTAGATAAGTGATTAAAACACTTATAATATTTCAAAATATAATTTTGCTCTCATCAAGCTCTAGAATACATAATGTCATTTGTTACTTGTGTTGTACAGTATATATAGTTTGATATAAATTTCTTTCTTAAATAAATATATAAATATATCACATATTTTTTCAATTTAGGATATTGAACTTGCAATTTATTTGGTTTAAAAATGCTTAGAAGCAAATATTATATTTGTTTTTTGAAAAAAAAAATTGAGACCAGATTTTTCCTGGTTACCCGGATTTTTCTGGGTTTCAATCATTTCCGGGTTTATAACAACCCAAACCGGTTTTCACTCTAGGTCGCCATTTTCCGGGTCAACTCGGCTGATCCAAGTCTGTTTGTTAAACATAGGATTATCTTTGATGTGATGTGAATGTTGTGATATATCACAAATTTTAATCTAAAAATATGATGAAATATGTCAACTTCTATACGGTTTGACCATTAACCTCTGTATGGTTTGGCCATTAAGGAAATACTAATATTTTATTGGGAAAACTATCAAATATGCCCCTTTTTCATGGGTGGGTATCGGAAACTTTTGGGGACATCCTTAGATGATGCTCTAGTGCAAAAGGAAAACCTACTTTGCCTTGGATATTTGTGAAAATGATCTGAAAAGCCATGATATTACCCACATAAATGACGTGGTGATGCAAAAGAAAGACTCTGAAACCCTGTTCCTTGGGAGAAGCAAGATGTTAGATTGAGATGAACTCCCCATGAGCTCCTAATGGCTGAGATGGGTGCCTTAGAATACAATTGGGAATGCCTTGTGAATGATGAATTGTAGGACTTGGAGTTATTAGGCTCATAGGACATATAAACGCCACCAGATGTTAGGGAGCATCCAACAGCATTCATATTGAAGCACTTGGATGAAGATTTAGTATCTAACTATGTTGGTTGCATGAATCATCTTAAGAGAAATCGCGTGTGGGACGGCCTAGGGTGTATGGTTCGCCAATGATGTAAATGATGATCCTAGGGTGTATGGTTCGCCAGTTACTGAGTCACAGGCATTGGGGACGGCCTGGATACGAAGGCGATACGCGCGTGATCCGTTCGAGTCGATTTTCTTCAGGATTAGAGATTGGAAAGCCAAGGTAGCTTAGCAGATCAGACGGTGTAAAGGTCGAGGACTCGATGGTGGTGATGATAGGCTATGGTGCTAGTTCGCGGCGGCCCGTTAGGGCTTTGGGGTGCTTTTTGTGTGTTTGAGACATACTAACATTGTTTACTTTTATATGAACATATCTAATACTATATTTACATGATGAAAGTGGGGTGTTAAGACTCAAGACGAAAAGATAACATGGACCATTAGAATAATTGAATACATTAAACTTTCATAACATCATATATGAAATTGAGTATTTCACATAAACCAAGCCAATTAGATATTTTAGTACCAACAAATAAAAGAAACATGTCAAAGGCAATTTATCTCTAGAAAATTTTAAGCATAAAATGACATTCTTAAATGTAATGCCTTGGAAATTAACATACATTCTACATAGACTACATTTATTATCTTAAGCTTACAGTTGCATATTAAGGTTCCTGTTAGATAAGGTAGAGCAATGTTTATTAATGTCTAAAATTTAGTGGTCCAGAAAGTACCTAAAAACATCACGCAAAGTGGTTATTATACCTAAATGGTACATTAAGTATATGGAAGAAGAAATATATTCATTTTTTTTCAAAGCCTCATTCGCTTGCAGACCATAGTCGCCGCGACCACTGACTTAGCCGTGACAAGGAACTGTTAGCAACCTTTAGACCTTTTCACTGTTAGCCATGGGTATCTATCAGGATTCGATGCATAAAAGGCGAGCTACTGGTGGTAAGAAGAAGGCCTGGAGGAAGAAGCGAAAGTATGAGCTCGGAAGACAACCTGCAAACACAAAACTGGTTCCAAATGCTAAAACAATTAGAAGGGACATGGTTCGAGAGGCAACCTGAAGTGGCGAGCCTTGAGGTTGGATACTGGGAACTGTTTTTGGGGAGGTGAAGCTCTCACCAGGAAGACCAAGATTTTGGATGTGGTTTATAATGCCTCAAACAATGAGTTTGTCAGGACCCAGACACTGGTTAAGGGTGCAATCGTTCATGTGGTTGATGCACCATTTAAGTAGTGGCGTCTCCAACACTATGAAGTTGAAGTTACATGTTGGAGGGCAGGGAGCTAGCTGGAGTTTTACATGAAGAAACTTCAGAAGAGGAAAGGAAAGGATGTTGATGGTGCAACTTAGATTCTATTCATTCAATTTTTTCATTGTTCAGGGAATGTAGAAATAAAAATGATTTTATTGCTACTCCTTTTTACTTATGTATTGTTGTCAACAATGTTTAGTTTGACAATGAGATTGTCACAAACTATCAGTTTGGAATTGTCCTAAACATTATGTTGAGAGGTGCTGACATGTCCTTTTATGTGGTCCCAGAATTCGGAGGGCAAACATTAATTTTGGAAAATGAAATTATATGTAAAAAGCAAAACCTGAAAACACTTGAAGATGGAACCATATGACATACCATTGCACATATCAAATGAAGCAAAGTCACTTTCCCCAGTGCTTGCATATACCGTGCATCAATCTATGTCACAGAAACAACTTATTTTAATGTTTGTGCAGAAAATCGATTGATACTATGTGAATTCTCTGAGCAGCAATATCATAAAGAAGCCCCTGCAACAATAATCAACTATAGAGGAACTAAAGTCATCAACATGGAGATAAGCTCCCTTTAGAACAACTAACCAACCATAGAAGAAGAGAATGGAGAGAAATCCTTGACAAAGAAATTGTGGAAATGTCGGAAAAATTGAGAAGTTAAGAAGGGAAAATATTATAAATTGGATAAAGAGAAAAGCATGCTTAAAGAGTGAAAAGGAAGATATTGGATAAATGGTTATGATATATTATAGATCAACTGTTAAGATAGATTTGCCTAAAAAGAGAACCCATAAAAAAACTCTAGCCATGTCAAATAGTAAGAAGAGACAAAAGTTCTTTGGATTAAGACTTTAGACAACCCCTAAAAAACTCCAGCCATGCCAAATCGTAAGAAGAGGCAAAAAGTTCTTTTAGCCCAAATTATCCCAAGTGGATAGAGTAAACTATTGTCAATGTTATCTCAAATGACATAGTAATAATAATACCAAACTCCATCCATCTGGAAGAACTACCAACTGAAGTCATTAGGATAAAATGAAGTCCAATGACATGTTATATATGTTCCATGATCTATGATGGATAGTGGGTAAAACTACATACTTACCTATTAATATGATTATTAATTGGAATACATATATAGAGGTGAAACCTTTATTTAAACTTAAAGTATAAACTTGTATGTACTTGTATAAACTTCATACTATTAAACTTTATTATTTTAAAATACAATTTTATTACTGTGAAACGAATTTTAGGTATTTACTTAAAATTGATCGCAAATAATAATATTTTAGAATATTGGGTACAATCTCTAAATATGAATCCTCTAATATTTTTATAAAACCCAACAACCATCACGAGCGGCCCAACAGAATCCGACAGTGGCCCACTGGCAAATAATATAGCCCGATAGCTTTTAAGAGCTCAATAGCTATCATAGTTCGCCCAATAATTTTATATATCCACAAATGCCACCTCGAGACTTGCTTGGGTGAATATGTTTATTATCACGAACAAGTGAGTCTCGAAGATGGATCCTATAGTCCATAATTAGCCCAATTTTGCAAAAGATTTCTTTTTTAAATCAATGCACAAGATCCGCCGGATCTATTGATATAAAATTCTATTATTTCCATTAGGCTTACAAAAACTGGGCTCAATTCTCTTGTTTCATCACGGAGTGTAACTAGCGCACTTCAATTTTGACCTCAATTGGAACTCCTAAAGTAGGAAATATTAACTTATTATTCTCCGTAATCAACTTCAATTGCAATTCGTACTTGCATTAACTTGGAGTCATCATCTAAAAGAATTCCAAATTGACTTCATCTAAGAACTTCTCTTCTACTAGGATTTAATCTGCCTGATTTGAGATCTATTAATGTGTATAAATATCAACTCATCTTCTTCTCTTTTGCATCTTTAATTTCACTCCCAGCAATTTGCAAAGGCCATCAAAATTCCTGAAGGCATAAGCTCGATCAATATCTCTGAAGCTGTAAAGCAATAGGTGAATTACCTTTTCCATTCTTTATGAAGTTATTTTTCTTTTTACCGTATTGCATGGGATATGTCAAGCTTCGGAAGTTATCATGCTTGGTCAAACTCATCTTTAACCAACCGGCGTTCAAAATCCAGAGGCATAAAATTTGCTTTCAAAATCCCAGTTGCAGAAGAAACTTGGCTGAGAGAAGGGATCTGCCATGTCAATTCGTTGCTCTTGCCTGGTGCTCTGTCCAAGAAGAACAGGTTTGGTTGATTGCGGACAACACCCAGAGCAGATCATCGCTCCTCTTACTTGCCGCCGGACTGATGGTGCTGCTGGCCGGATTGTTGGTGCCGCTTGTTGGAGAGAGAAGATGCCGCCGTTCCTATTTCCGCTGACGCTGTTATGCCACCACGCCGTCAGAAATTGATCCAAGAATCCGAAGTGGTCTGTCAAATTGCTGGTGGCTATATTTATACAAATCAAGAAGAAAGTAGCTGGTTGACGGTGCCCGAGAAGATGATGGAGCTAATCTTTGTTGCTGATTTCTGGCGAGCTCTGTGTGGTCGGATGCTGATCTTGGGGTTCAATTCCGATGGTGAGCAGCAGACGGAGGCTTCAAGAAGGATTGCTGGTGTCAGATGTTGCGGAAGCTAGTTGGTGTTTGGAGAAGATACTACCAGATGAGTTGATGCTGCCGTCGAAGGTCACTAACCGGAGAAGATGCTGGTCGGAGTTCAGTTGATGCGGCGGAGATGATGCTGGTTCGTCTATTGGGCTTCTAAATTCGGAGGAGCAAAGTAGAATTTTCCCGGAGCTGCTGAGATTGAGACGCTACCTGCCAAAGTTTTGTTGATGCGGCAATTCAAAGTCGATTCAAGGAGGTGGGCCTGCAGTGAGGTTCTTCCATAGTTGTAGCCATCCGTTTTATTTATTTTGACCGCTGGTGCAGAGAAGAAATTACTTGTGCTGCTCGCTGGACCGCTGGTGTCGAATGTTGAAGCTGCGCCAGCTTGTTGGTGTAGGAGAAGCTGCTGGGAGATGAGTTGATGAGATCGAGATGTTGTCTTGTCGGCCAGAATTTTTTTGATGCGGCAACTCAAAGTTGATTCAAGGAGGGGGCCCGCAGCAAGATTCTTCCGGAGCTGTTGCGGTTGGAGGCGTGGCTGCAGCTTTCTCGAGAAGAAGGAAATTGATCGATGTTTCACGCGATGCTCGTGCGAAGGAGATGACGGGAGGGTGAGGCCAATCGCTGAGTTGTTGTCGTGCTTGTTCGAGGAAGACGACCGGAGAAGTTCTGCACTTTGGAGATTTCCGTCGCTGCTGCGTTTAGTTTTCTGAGAAGCCGTGCTCAACTGCTCATCTGCGAACAAGACAGCAGGATATGGATATTCCTAAAAGACTTGGGCCATGGGCCTTATTTAATGGTTATTGGGCCCAATGACTATTAAACCTGCTCGAAATAAGGAGACCCGATTTCCTGATGTTTCAAGTGATTTGCTCATGGTGCCATTTATTGAAGAGGAAGGAGCTAGGCCTATTGTTGGGTTAGTGGCACTGATATAAAGAATTAGGCTGATTGCCGGTAGTCGGTGTCGTTTGGGGCCTTTGGTTGGGCTAGTGGCACCGATCTAAAGAATTAAGCCGATTGCCGGTCATCAGTGCTGCTTAGGGCCCTTGGTTGGGCTAGTGGCACTGATCTAAAACATTAGGCCGATTGCCGGTCGTCGGTGTCACATGGGGCCCTTGGTTGGACTAGTGGCACTGATCTAAAGAATTTCCCAGTGATGTCCTGTGAATACAAAGCCCTGCTGATGCCATTTATGAAGGGCGGCTATTTCGCCGTTTGTGAAGGCTGGCCATTTTGCCAGTTTGAATGACGACCACTTCGCCGGTCTGAGGGTTACAGCGGCGTCGCTTGGTACATTGTTATGATAGTGGCACTGATAGAAGATGATGTTCGAAGTTCAACTCAATCACTTTCAGGTGAGGCGCAGACTTGAGAACTCCCACATCCTGGTAAGGCTTTGTTTTTTGTAACCTCTTTGCTGAAAAACTAGATTGGGTTTTGTTTTGTTATAACTGAACTTGATGGATAAGTGTACCCGGGGGTATCTATCCGAGGGGTTACTGCGGGAAATAACTAGAGAGAAGTCAGAGCAAAAGTAAGAGAGAGAATATATATTGCTGAGAATGCGTTGAGTGTATTGAACATGGATTACAAATGGGGAAAAGGGGTGCTATTTATAGTAGCAATAAATGCCAGATAGGGACACATGTCATCATTCTGGTGGTCGAGGGGTCACCTCAACGGGGTGGCACTGGCACTCGCATGTGGCCGCATTGAATGCGGTGGTTGGATGTGACATTTGTACTCGGTACGTTGATCCGGCGCATGTGGGTGGGAGATTCTGTCGAGGAGATGCCTTCGGCCGTAGATGATTGGCTGAAGGCTCTTCATACCGGGGGCTCTAGGTGCCGAGGGCTACTGTTTTTGCCGCTTTCTCTCAGACACTTTGAGGGCTGTAAAGAAGCCGTAGGTAACACAGGGGGGACTCCACCAGCCAGCGGAAGAAGTGGGCTCAATCGCTATACGTAGGGGAAGTCACTCATATGCCCCCGGTAAAGCGGCTGAGGGAGGAGCCCTTCACATTCACAAACGCCGATCTCCCCCCTGCTTCCTCTCCTCACAGGGATGCTTTGGTGATCCAAAGCAAAATAAACAACACCATCATTCATCGAACTTACATTGACACGGGCAACTCCGTCAATGTAATGTACCTCAGCACATTCAGAGAGCTGCATCTGGAGAGGGGGTCCCTTCGGCCCATAAAGATCCCTCTTGCTGGCTTCACTGGAGACACCATTGACTCAGAGGGGGTCATAACCCTCCTGGTACTATTCGGTGACGGGCTCCATAGAGCCAAGCTCGAAGTGGAGTTCGTCGTCGTCAACATCGACTGCGCCCACAACATCATCCTCGGCAGACCAGCCCTCGAGGACCTCGAAGCCATCATCTCCATGAGGCATCTGTGCCTCAAGTTCCCCACCGAGGGAGGCATCGGATACTCAAGGGGGAATCAAAAACTTGCCCGCGCTTGCTACATTCAAGTGACAAAGAAGGTTAGTAAGACCGAGTTCTGAGTTCACACCATCACCGGAACCGTGGAGGAAGAAGAGAAGAGGCCGAGGGCTGAGCCCGCCGAGGAAGTAGAAGACTTCGCACTCGATCCGGCCAAGCCGGAGAGAGTTGTGAAGATTGGAGCCAAGCTCCCCGAAGACCTAAAGACCAGCATAACTGAAGCCCTCCGCGCCTACTCCATTGTTTTTGCATGGGGGCCAGAGGACATGCCCGGAATCAGCCGAAGGGTCATCACCCACCGCCTCTCGGTGGGCCCTTCGGTCAAACCTATACAACAGCGAAGAAGACCCCTCTCGGCCGAGAGGAGGGAAATTGTGAAGAGGGAGGTTGTCGTGCTCCTCTCCATCAAGCACATCAATGAGGTGAAATACCCCTCGTGGCTGGCGAACATAGTCCTCGCACAGAAGCCACCCACCTTCCGCATGCGCGTGGACTACACAGATCTCAACAAGGCGTGCCCTATGGACCCTTTCCCTCTGCCGAACATCGATCAACTCCTGGATGAGACCGCGGGGTGTGAAATCATGTCGTTCCTCGATGCATTCCGTGGATATCACTAGATTTTTATGCATGAGGAAGACGCGGAAAAAACAGCCTTCATGACTCCCGAGGGCATATTCTGCTATCTTGTCATGGCCTTCGGCCTGAAGAACTCAGGCGCCACCTACACCCGAATGGTGGCCAGAGTCTTTCAGGCCGTCCTAGGACGCACCATGGAGGCCTATGTTGACGACATGATCGTCAAAAGCAAACAATCATCGAGCCATGCTGACGACCTCCGGAAGATCTTCGCCATCATGCAAAAGTTCAACCTTCGGCTAAACCAGAAGAAATGCACCTTCGGCGTTCAAGGAGGCAAATTTTTAGGCTACATGGTGAGCCAAAGGGGTATTGAGGTCAACCCCGAGAAAATCCAGGCCATCATCAACATGGAGCCCCCACGTAACGTGAAAGAGGTCCAACGGTTGACGGGCCGCCTGGCAGCCCTCAACCGCTTCCTATCCAAATCGGCTGAGAAGTCTTACCCTTCTTCCAGATCATGAGGAAGACCGCCGGCTTCCAATGGACCTCAGAATGCAAGGAGGCCTTCGACGAGCTGAAACGATACTTATTTTCACCCCCTGTGCTCTCCAAACCCATGGTGGGGGAAACCCTATACCTCTACCTTGGAGTCGGCCCGGCTGCCATCAGCTCAGTGCTCATCTGGGAGGAAGATGGCGTTCAACATGCCATCTTCTATGTTGGCAAGACCCTCAGGGAGGCCGAACTCAGGTACTCCCCCGCGGAAAAGATAGTCCTAGCCATTGTTTGGACTGTGAAGAAGCTTGGCCACTACTTTCAGGCCCATCCGGTCCAGGTCCTCACTCACCAACCCCTCGGCGCCTTGATGAGGAGCCCCGTCAGCTCCACCCGAATGGTAAAATGGGCCATCTTCCTTAGCCAATATAACATTGACATCCGTCTGAGGTCTGCCATAAGGGGCCAAGCCCTGGCGGACTTCGTAACAGAGTGCACGGCCAGATCAACAGTAGATGAGGAGCCCTCGGCACCTTCGGACAAGTGGTGGACCCTCTATTCTGATGGCTCCTCAGCCACCAAAGCATGCGGGAGAGGAGTAGTTCTCATTACTCCCGAAGGCTTCCGGGCCTACTATGCCATCCGCTTCTCCTTCAAAGTCTCCAATAACGAAGCGGAATATGAAGCCCTCCTCTGTGACCTTCGACTGGCAGCGAATATGAAGGCCAGAATGATCCACGTCAAGTGTGACACCAAGCTTGTCGTGGGCCAAATCTCTGGGGAATACGAGGCCAAGGAAGGGAGGATGAAACAATACAGGGAGGCGGCTAAAGAATTGCTCAAGGTATTTGAGGCACACTCTCTCACCCAAATACCGAGGGCTCAAAATTCTGAGGTCGGCATTTTATCAAAACTCTCGGATGAATCCCCCGAGCACCTCTCACCCAATAAAGGCAAGAGGACTGGATCTCAGACATCATCGCCTTCATCACCACAGGGCAACTACCCGAGGATGAAGCTCGCTCCAAATTAGCAAAGCTGAGGGCCCCCAACTACACCATCGAAGACGGAAGGCTCTACAAACAATCTTACAACGGCACACTACTCCGATGCCTACATCAAGACGAAGCCGAAGTCGCCATGGAGGAAGTGCACAGTGGCACTTGCTCAGCTCACCAGGGACCCTTCTCTATGTCCCGAAGGCTCATAGTCCAAGGCTACTTCTGGCCTACAATGGCCCGAGATTGTGCGGATCTCGCCCAATAGTGTACCGCCTGTCAACACTTCCAGAAGGCCCCCGGCAGACCAGCGGTCAACTATGCCCCCATCAGCACATCTATACCCTTATCTAGATGGGGCATAGACCTTGTGGGCCCTCTGTCGAGGGGTACCTCCAACAATAGGTACATCATCGTTGCCATTGACTACTTCACCAAGTGGGCGGAGGCTGAGCCCCTCGCCAGCATTACTGAGGCCAGGTGCCGCCACTTTGTCCTAAAGAACATTCTCACAAGGTTTGGCGTCCCCCAACAAATCATCTCCGACAACGGAACCCAATTTGAGGCAGCCTTCTTCTGTGCCCTCCTAGAGGCATGGGGCATCAAGCACACCTTCTCATCCGTTGCTTACCCTCAAGGCAACGATCAAATGGAGAACGCCAACCGGACATTACTTGAGGGCCTAAAAAAGAAGCTGGAGGCCGAAGGGGGAGGCTGGGTAGAAGAACTCCACAACATCCTATGGGCTTACCGCACCACCCCTCAGCGGGCAACAGGTGAAACACCCTTCTCCCTGTGCTATGGATTTGAGGCTAAAGCTCCCACGGAGGTGACCCTTCCTACTCGAAGGGTAGCCCAATATGATCCCGAAGTCAACGACGCTAATATGGCCCTCGACCTTCACCTCATCTCAGAACGCCGAGAGTAAGCCTTCATACGAGCGGAAAACTACCGAAGGCAAGTGAAGGGCTATATCGACGCCAAGGTCCGCTCTCGAGAATTCCAAGTGGGGGATTATGTCCTACGACGGAGGGAAGCTAGCCAATCAACTGAGGGCGGCAAGATGGTACCTAAGTTTGAGGGCCCATACATCGTAGTGGCCATCATCAAATCGGGGACTTACAAACTCAAACGCCCCAGTGGGGAAGAGGTCCCTAGACATTGGAATGTACATCACCTAGTTAAATTTTATCACTAATATTAGAGGGTCAAGACCTCATAACTAATGAATGTATTATCATACGGCCCAAGGCCTTCAAATTTAGAGACATATTGAAGACACCAAGAATAAGAAACAAGACACATATGAGCGGCCAAGCCCTCATGCGGACTACTGGCCCAAGGCCTTATCACAAGCAAGACCCTTTGGCACCAAGTGCCGAGGGTAGACACTCCCATCACCTACGACAAATGAAGAAAACACCAAGTGTTTTTCAGAAGACCCCTCGGTACCAAGTGCCGAGGGACCGTACTCCTATCAACTCCAGACAGCGGAAAACATCAAGTGTCTCCTTTGAAGACCCCTCGGGGGCCATATGTCGAAACAAACACCAAGTGTTGTTTCGAAAGCCGTACCCCTCGAGGACGCATTTATACCGAAGGCACCACCTATCGGTGCCGGCAGCACGTAGTGCCCCCGGCCATTTGTAACCAGTGCACAAATGAAAACCCTTCCTTGAAACGCTTTCCGCGTCATTACCCCAAGGGAATCACAGACATCTAATATGCCCAGGATTCGACTTCCAAAACGAAACGCTCCCCGCGCCATTACCCAAGGGTATGGCAGGCCACAGACTATGTCTCGCGCCGAGAGGACGACTTTCAAAACTGGGGCGCTTTCCGTGCCATCCCCCAAGGGGAGGCAGGCTACAGACTGTGTCCTATGCCGAGGAAATGACCCTCGATCCCCTCGGAACTCGGAAGGTTAACCCGAGGGGGGAGCTAATGGTGTATGCTGTTGCCTCCCGATAGGCCAAGCCTTACCAAGAAACCAAGTTTCTTGAAGCCTTCCCTTCACTCCCAAAAAAAAAGGTGAAGGGGAGTAGACTCAAAGAGCAATCAATGAGTACATAACTCCAACAATCCACAACGGAACACCCTTCAGCAAACAGCAAGAAGGATCATCACAAGACAATACAAATCATACCGAGGGCTCCCCAAGGGAACGCCTCTGATACCTGGGGACTACTAATTCCAGAAGGCCGCTATTCAACAAAGGCTACCGAAAAATGGCTAAGTCCAATGTCTGGATTAACCAACAAATACCGGTGCCCCTCTGACGTCAAACAACACTGAGGGATCTCCAAAGGAATGCCCCCGTTCACCATACATCAAATATCAGTCAGGTCTACAAACTGGTGGCCTCCGGCATCAACGAATACCGAGGCTCTAATCCTGCTAAAGGATTAAAAATGGCCAAGTCCACTCAACAACGACTCAAGGGATACCGAAGGCATCCACTTTCCGTCCGCCCTTACTACATCATGAATGTCTTACAAAATTTTCCTAAGTCCGCACTTTGGAGCCATTATGGCCGAGGGCGCCTCCTACACAATACCGAAGGCAAGTACCCACAGACATGATCTTGAAATTCCTAAGTCCAAGTCCCAGCAACCCCCAACGTTACAACCAACGCCGGAGGTTAGTACTCACATGGCTCATTTACCGAAGGCCAAGTGACAAGTAACATGTAGAAAAATGTCTAAATTCTAAATGGTTGGCCCTCGGTCAAATCTCCATGCAGCCAGAGGGGTCACACAACCGAAGGCTCTGTGGTGAAACCACACTTAGAAAAATGTCTAAATTCTAAATTGTTGGCCCTCGGTCAAATCTCCATGCAGCCAGAGGGGTCACACAACCAAAGGCTCTGTGGTGAAACCACACTTGGAAAAATTTTCTAAGTCCTACATATTTGGCCCTCGGTCAAATCTCCATGCAGCCGGAGGGGTTGCACAACCGAAGGCTTTGGTGAAACTACACTTGGAATATTTTTTCTAATTCCTAAATGTTAGGCCTTCGGCCATACATATAGCCAGGCATACATTCACGCACAAAGGAAAAGAAAGTCGGGGAAGGACGAAGGCATACAAAAGAGAATGACAACCGAGGGAAAAAGTTGTGAACAAAAGAGAAAAATATTCTAAGTCCTGAAATTTTGGGCCCTCGGTCAAATCGTGACGGCTGCCCAAGTTCAGAGGGAAGCATCTGTCGTGGGTCTAGTATTGAACAAACACTTAGAATGATTTTCTAAGTCCTAAATGATTGGCCCCCGGTCAAATCATAATGCAAACATACATGCATACATGAAAGGAACGTAAAGAAAAACGAAGGCCATTCACTCACCAGAAGGGAAGAAAAGAGTAAATTCAAACATTAAAGCCCGAAGGCATATCATTCATTCGGAAGATAGCATTCAAATGCAAGGGCGGTAAACGTGTTCAATTACAAATATTGTTCAAAAGATTTACAAATACAAAGTTACTCGGCGGTTTTCTCCTCAACGGCCTTTGGAGTAACGTCCCCTTCAGCATCTTTAAAGGTAACCTCTCCACCGACATTCTCCTCGGCACCACCATCGTCGGACCCCCCATCATCATAGAATCTTCAATCACTGGTCTTTCTTCGCCCGGGGGGAGGGGATTCTCACATCAGGTTTCAATGGGGGAAGGTCGTACACCGTCGGGTCAAACTAATCGAGGGAGACGTTGAAGTGACGAGCGAGCCTCCAGTATATCAGGTGCTGGGTGAAGAACTCACCCCCTTGGTAGTAGCAGTCGCCTCTCTCGGCCAACCACTCCTTGTCAGGGCCTTCAACCCATACATCTATCTTCTTCTGCACAACGGAGGAGACCCATTCTTCCCTATCAGCAGCCTCCCAGCCTTCGGCAGTGAAGGCATCAACCACGGCTTTCCCAGCTTTCGCTACCGCCTCGTTCTTGGCCCTCTCGACCTTGTCGGCGGCTCTCTTGGCGACCTCGGCAGCAGCACTCTCGGCCTCAGCCTTCCCCTCGGGCTTGGCCTCTGCTATGGCAATCTCCATCTTCAGCTCCATCTGTTGAAGGGTCTCCTCCAGCTTGCACATTTCCCTAAGGGAAGCATCTTTTTCAAGGATAAGCTTCCTCAGGGACTCCTCCTGCTGGGCCTTCTGGAGGCGCCATTCTTCCAGCCGTCGGGCCTGTTCACCGAGGGCTATGCAGGCCTATAAGCAATGAACAAAGGAATCAAGTTATCATTCAGGATGTGCTAAGTGAATGAAAAAGAAAACTAAGGAACAGAGACTTACGGTAAGGGATGACCGGAGGATCTTGCTCTCGAAGGAAGCATCGTCGTAAGTGCCGAGAGCCTCCATATCCATCGCCGAAGTAATTACCCGCAGGAAGGCCTTCGGCTCAACCGTGGCGTGCATCACGGAAGTTCCGGGGGCCAGGGAGAATTTCACAGTCTCCCGGGGGAAATCTTCCAAAGGAAGATCAGAAGGAGCCGTCGCCACCTCAGCACGTGGCTCAGAAGTGGAATGTTCATCCACTATCATAATCGAGGGATCATCCTTCCCCGCATTCCCCTTTTTGGGTTTCTTACCCTCAGGACCACCGCCCTTCCCGGCGGCCTTCCTCTTCTCCGCAACGTCAGCTCCTTGGGAGCCTCCAGCCACATCAACGGTGGCAACAGCCGTAGAAGGCACCACCACCTCCTTCTGAAAAAAGGCACTGACGGGTTGCTGACCCGAGGGATCCTTCTTCTTGACTTGGGCCTTGCCCTTCTTCTTCTTCATAGCAAACAGAGCGTTCGCGTCCATGTGATTACCTGCAAAAAGAAAACACAAGATGGTTAGATCGAGGGGTAGAAAGCACGAATAGAAATTAAAGTACAAAATTCCTAAGTACAAAATATAAGGCCCCGGCAACTACCTCCTGTTCCCCTGAAGGCTCTATCAAGGATGGGGTACTTCTCGACTGTTTCCCCCAAGAAGCGGTACCACCGGAAGCCGAGGGAATACAAATCGCTCTCGAGGATGCATTCTTTGGTGGTTACGTTCTTATTCCGCCCCTCCGGGATCTTGGAAATCTTAAGACCATCTTTTTTGAGGGAGGCACTTCCCACCCTCTCATGCCGACGAAAACGATCCTGCAACTCCCTCGGGAAGGGGCTCTCATCCAGTCTCACATAACACCATCGCTCCTTCTAGCCTTTATTTGAGGAGGGCGCCTCAGTGAACAACTTCCAATGGGCTATCTGCTACAGGTTCGCGAAGCCCTCGGCATTCGCATGGCCTCCCCGGCACAGGTTGAAACTTTGGAAGAAAAGGTCCAAGCTAGGGGTTACCCCCTGGGACAGGCAGAGGTGCAGGAACCCGATAATATAAGAGTGACTGTTGGCAGGGGGCTAAGTCAACGAACCTGAGGTACTCCCGAAGGAATGGGTGCAATGGGAACCGAAGGCCCACCGACACTGAAAGAATGTCAACCGCTATGCACCCCTCAGGAGGTCGGAACAGGATATCCTCAGGGCCTGGCTCTATCACTGTTGCCGATGGACCAACATGCAGCTGTGTGACGTAGCATTCTGCCCTATCAGCCTTCGACTTTATATCGAGGGTGGCGGTGTTAAGGAAGGAATAACCCTCGGGCAGATCGATGGGTTTTCCTTGATCAGCAACGCTACCCTTCTTCTTGGGAGCGGGAGCCTTCGTCTTCTTCTTCTTCCCGGGGGCTACCCTGAGGGGAGTCGGGTTCAGCGGCCGAGAGTTGCTTGCCTCACCAGCATTACGAGGGGAGGGGACCGCAATAGTAACCCTCATCCTCTCCCTCTCCTTCTCCTCCTCTTCAATGGCCGTGTGCATGGCGAGGGCCATCTCCTCGTCTTCCACCACTTGTTCGAACTCCTCCGCCTCGGCTTCGGTCACTAACTCCTTCTGAACCTCCATAGCGAGGGCAACATCACCATTCCCCGAGGACTGACTGCTTGCAGACTCGACGTCCGAAATACCCTCCTCCTCAGCCGAGGGCTCCCTTGAGACATTTTGGGAATCACTTGCAGATGACATTTTATTTTTCGGAAACTAGGGGTCGAGGGTTTAAGAGACCGAAGGCTTTCTATGGGGCTCTAACACCTAATCTAAGTCCGGAGAGCAAAACTTACTAAAAGGGCGAAGAACAGATGGAGAACTGACCTCATAAATAGGAGTTTGATCGAAAGCAGGTTTCTCTCTCTAGAAAAATTTCGGCAGAGCTTCGATACAGTATGATCGCGCAAGAAGAATAGCCTTGGCCTTGGGGTATTTATAGGCCTCCCACTCCGGGCTTGGGCCAAGAAACCGGGCCCCCGATGGAAAGTCATCATTACACGCCGCCCCTTCCGCCAACCAGTGATACCCGCCTGAAGCTAGCCAACAACTACACGCCACGTGGATATCACCTCCAACGGCTACATTTTCAACGTTCCTTATTCCAACGGTCTTATCACAACGGCTATATTTTAGAAACACAAAGGTGCTCCCGGCCGGTACCCCTCATACAACATTACACTTGCATTCGGGCTTTCTCCTTCAACACCCTTCGCACAACAAATTGGGGCTGGCCCTCGGTCCATCACATTCAAACACCCCATGTCATATGGGCCCCCGAGGTAACAATGGAAAAGCCCCTCAAAACGTTGAGAACTAGGGAGTCCCCTTGGGGCAACACCTTCAAATTCCCTCATCAGTGGCTAGCCTCCGGCTAAAATACCATGGCACCCCTCAGCACACAGGAACGATCACCGGCATTCATCAACAACGAACAAGCCCTCAGCCTCATTGACTGGGGGACTACCCTCGGCAGTCCCCGGGATGCTCGCTCATGCTTATCAATTACGGATGCCTTCGTAGGAATGCTCCCGGCAGACCCTCCGGGATATTAACGAAGCCCCTCCAGCAACTCCACAGACATGCCCTCAGATCAATGGTAGTCTTTGGCATCAACTTTGTCCTTCATCTCAGACCAAGGTTTCACCTTTTCGATTCATCATTGGGGGAATTCGGTGCACTCTTTTTCCTTATTAGGATTTTTTCCCACAAGGTTTTTTCATAATGAGGTTTTAAACGAGGCATCCCCCCAAGATGAAACAAAAAGTGTCCACCTTCGGCCCCGTACAAACAGCAGACACCACTCTACTCCTTTTCACCACTTTATAAGTGCCTCAGGAGTGGGGGACTAGAGAACCTCTCCGGGAATCGGGAAAATAAAAAAATGCTAAAAAATTATTCTCACAAAGCATCAACACCCTTTAGTCCCAAAATGTGAGGGACTGAAGGGCTGCCCCGGCAGAATCGTGTGCAAACGCAAAATCTCTCACAGGTTTACAAACAACACCAAGACATCATCAGAGGACAAACGCATTTTACTCCTTTTACCTCAAGTACCTTTCGGCAAAAGGAGTGAGGAAGTCCTGATGAGGTATATGGCCCAAGAACCCCCGGCCCATAGACTCCCACTACTATAGCTGATAGAGTATATATCTAGAGAGAAGTGAGAGCTAGAGAGAGAAGTGCAAGTAAATGCTTCAATAGAATGATTTTGTCACCCCTACAACTACTCCAAGAGGTAGTATTTATAGGGAAAATACGGGCTGGGCTCCCAAGTCTTGGGCTAGGGAGGCCCATTTTCAACTGGACCGCTATTGGGCCGAATACAATGTGCGTAGAAATGATTAAGTGTAAAATCCTATTCTGGGGGCCGCTCGTGGCCGATGAGGGCACGACCGACGAGGGCACGGCTGACGGGGACCTGGCCGACGAGGTCACCCGGTTCTCCTAGGTTACGGACCGTATTCTGAGTTAGACTGCTTTCTGGCCGATGGAGGTCATATGACCGACGAGGGTCCCACCAGGTGATCGTGGTACCTTCTGTCCTTCCGAGTATGTGGGCCATGGGGTCCAGGCCCATATACTCCATCAGGAGTCCCCCACTCTCTAAGCTGAGATGTAGATGAGGTGAAGGAGAGTAGATTTCTGTGCTTGATGCTCTTGGCCGACGTGGGACCACCCCGACCGTTTTCTGTCGTGGCGTTGGTGGCCCTGTTCTGGATTTGGCCATTACCTTCCCCTTGATGTGGACGATGAGCGTTCCGGTCATGGGTGGCCGATGGAGACATTCTTTCCTTCTCACGACCTTTGGTGGCTGGATTTTGTTTTTGGGCCGAGGAGGCCACTGCGGTTGTGTTCTTGCTTGAAGACGATGAGCGTCCCTCATCTTGAGTGTCCGTTAAGGGTGCTACTCACTCCTTATGACCATTGGTTAAAGTTCGTACTGTTGGCCGAGGAGGCCATTGGGGCTACCTTTTGGTTGGACGATGAGCGTCCTTGCTTAGTGGGTACGATGAGCGCCCTTTGTCATGAATGGCCGATGAAGGCCGTGCCCACTCGTGACAGTTGATGGCTGATCTTCGCTCTTTGGGGTCGAGGAGGCCTGTGTGGTTGTCTCTTGTTCGAGGATGATGAATGTTCTTTTGTTCCCGGGTGGCCGGTGAGGGTGCGGTTTGCTTCTTAGCCGTTGACCGTGTTCTATGTTTTTTGGCCGCAGTGGTGTTGTCCGTAGTCTGGCATTCACGCTTTTGAGGACGATAACGACACTGATCCGGGAGGAGTGGTGCGTGTCCTGGTCTCAAAGCCGATAAGTGCCTTGTGATCTCAAGTGTTGCGCTTATGGAGGGAATTCTTTGTTCGCTAGCTTTGCTGCGGCCGATGGTGCACCATGATGTTATGGACGTTGTGGTGCATGTCTGATGTTGTAGTTGTGGACTTAGAATATTTTTGGATTTTTCTGATTTTGTCCTGGTTTGCAAAGGCCGATGTAGTCCCCCAGTCCCCCAGTGCTTCAGGCTGAAGAGTAGGTGAGGGGTGAAGGAGTAAAGGATTTACTGAGGCCGAAGCGGACTCTTGTATACACCTGAATCCAATTCCTTGGCGATTTCCTGGTCAAGGTAACCATGTGGGAGAACCCATGGACGCAGGTCACTTTCAAGAAATTATCATCAGGGTTTTATACAGGGCCGATGGCGTGGGGTTTCTTGGTGGTTTTACCGCCGTGGCCATTGAGAAGGCCATGCAATTGGCATTCTGTTCAAGCCAATGTGGACGTGCCTTGAGATGTGACCTATCCATTTGAAGTATCTCTGTGTTGAGGCCGATGTGGGCACGCTTTATTAGTGTGGCCGTTGAGTGGTTGGCCTGTTAGTGGTGAGCTGGTGTTGTGGAAGTGGGCCTGACCCGACTTCTAAACTGGTGCAAGCCCAATGGGCCTTGGGGGTGGTGGCCATTCATGTGGCCAATGGGAGGTTTCCATGTGTAGTGACCGTTGAGGGGAGGTCTATAAATACCCCCCTCCGAAGAGGTTCCTCATTGCATTCCTGAGATAACGAAGTGCAGCTGAATTTTCTAGAGAGATAAAGTTCTTGCAAGTGTTCTTCGTGTTCATCAAAGCTTCAAAGGTTAGTGCATCGAAATTTTCCTCTGTACTTTGCCTATTTCGCTTCCTAGGCCATTGATCCTTTGTTAGTGGAGAAATACCCTTAGATCCAAAGTAGAAATCTTTAGGCTCTAGTTAGTTGTTATGATGAAGCCTTTGGACGACGAGTACTACCCGTACGACGATTAGCCCTCTGCTAAGTCTCTTGATTATCGGGTGGTAGAGGAGTGCTGTGAGGAGATAGAGGAGTTGAGCTCCTTCAAGTCAGGGGAGGGTGAAGGTGAGGACGAAGAGGTCGCCTCGTCGTCTGATGGTGAAGATGTAGTGGCTTTACGTGCTGTGGACGGAGCGTCTACATCGGCTGCAATCCCTTGCCCGAAGCCGGTTTCTGCTGTAAAGGGAGCTGCTCTGACGAGAAGGCGGCGGCCGAAGAGGGGTCAAGGTTTCTCTTACCTAGATCTCACCAACCTCTATCTGATCAAGCCGGAGAGTAATGCGGCCGATTACTTGGTGGCACAGATGTACGTGGGGCCGTATGGGCGGGTTAGGGCGCCCAAGCCGACGGATCACGTGTTGAATCCACCTCCGGGGTATTTTGGAGTATACCCCATGAGCTTCGCAAAGGGACTTAGGTTTCCCCTTCACCCATTCATCACGAAGTATCTGGACATGGTGGGTCTCCCTCCAGCCTTGCTGACTCCCAACAGCTATTCGCTCATTGTCGGCTTTCTTCTCCGCTGCGATGAGCTAGATTTTAGGCCGACAACGACACTGTTCATGAACCTGTACCAGATTGGTCAAGGGAGCCACAAAAACTGTGCTGGTTACGCTAACCTCTAACAGCTGCCGAAGAAGAGGAGTTTCACTGACCTCCCTTCGTCTATTCATGGATGGAAGAGCAAGTTCGTCTTCGTGTCCTTGGGTGAGGACGATACGGAGTTTCCTTCAGTTGGTCACGACGGTAAGTTCACCCTGCATGACGTGCCGAAGAGCAGTATTTTGGATGCCCAGGAAGCGGCGTTTCTGAAGGGCGGGCCGAGGAGCGTGAAACATTACATCACGGAATACAAGATGACCGCCCTCGGCTTCATGAGGTATCACGTTTATGGTGACAAGGAAGGTGATATCGAGTTGTGGCCGAAGATGACCACCACCATTGAGGAGGCCGACGGCCCGGATATGGGCATTCCTGCTGATGCTGATGGTAATACCTTCCCTGGCGTCTTCGTCTATGTTTTCTTTTGTTTTTGCTAACTGTTTGTTTCAATTGCTGTGCAGACTTCGCTATGGATCATAGATCCGTCATGGACCTAGCCAAAGCTAAGGCGAAGGAGAAGATGGCCGCAAAGGAGGCTGCAAAGATGGCCGCTGCGGGCGGCGCTCAACCAAGCTCTGATGCGGCGAAGAAACCGCCAACGCAGCTGAAGAAGAAGCGGCCTGCCGATGACGGCCAGAAAAAACTTACCGAGGCCGGCATGCAATCCAAGAAGCCGAAGAGGGCTTCTCCTCTGGCGGATGCTGGTGTTGGGGGTATGGCCATACCGAATGATGATGCCAGGGCTCAAATGCCATTACCGTTGTGGACGCGGTTTCGGTCCCCTCTTCGGCGATCCTATCTCAGCCGCCGCCTATCGGCCAAGAGCCCTGTAAGCAAAGGGCCGGCAAGGAGCTGGCTGGCGGGACTTACAAGCTCGAGATCGAGTATCCTGTGAAGGGTGGCGTCTTCAATGACGCCGTTGACGACCATGATGTCCTTGCCCGGGCTGTCTTGGTCGAGGATCGGGCTTATCTGAAGAAGCTGGGTCCCGTCAGGATTTACAATGGCGGTATGGACCTCATCGTTTAAGTAAAGCCCTCATACTTTACGTCTTTTGTGTCATGGGTTTTGCATCGTCCTAATTCTTCATTTCTCCTTTTTTGTTGCAGGGCGCTCTCATGCTGATGGAGAGCCACAAACGGCGGGAGCAGGAGATTGCCCGTCTGAGGGAAGCCGAGAAGAAAGTTGCTTCAGCTGAGGAGGCCACGGCCTGCCTGGACCGGCTTCGGGAGGAAGTGAAGGCCCTTCAGAAGGGTGTTGATGAGGCCGATGTGGCCTACCGGCAGGTAGCGGCTGACCGTGATGACGCTCTGAGGGCTAGGGATGAAGCCCTACGAAGCCGTGATGAGGCCCTGCTCCGGGCCGAAGATGCCGCAAGGGCTCAGGCTGATTCTGAGAGGGCCACTGAGAAGTCCGTTGACGGCGCCATCGAGAGGTTCCTGGCCGAAGGCTGGAAAGCCGATGACCACTGGCCCTGGTGCTATGACGTCGTGGCAGACCGGCTCGAAGATTGGGGCCAGAACTGCCCTGCTGGCCAAGAGTACTTTGCTCGTGAGATGGATGTCTACTACGACATGGGTCAGCAGAGGATGCAGCGGCTGATATACCGGAGGCTGCACCGGGCGTTTAAAAAGCTTAAGCTCACCCAGAAGTGGGATAAGAAGAACATGAAGCTTCCACGGCTGATGAGGGATCCTGAGGCCGAAGCGAAACTCCCCCCATCTGAGAGGCAGGATCCAGTGCTCAGCTCTTCAATCGGTGAGCCTGACTGGTCCGAAGATGACACTCTGGCCGATACTGCCGTCTCCTCAGCAGCCGATGCCAGCGGAGGTGCCAGGACGGAGGAGGCCGAAGCGGAGCGGGTGGCCGATGAGACCGTCCCCGAGAGTTGATCGACTGACTTATCATTTTGTAATTTAGCTAGGCTGGTGTCTGTAATGCCCTTCGTTTTTTGTAATGGCCGTTGAGCCCTCCTTGTGTAATGACCTTATATTAATGAAATATGTTTCCGGCCTTATCATGTCTTTTCGTCGTCTTGTTCTCCCTTTACTTTTGTTCTCAAGTTTTTCAAAATTTGTCTAAGTGTTTGGAATTGGGACTTAGGTAATTTTCTAAGTATCAAGGCTTCAAGTGAGTGGGTGTTCGCGTCGTCTTGGCAGCACGCCCCCTTTCACTTTTGCCTAAGACTTTGGAAAATTTTCTAAGTGTTGAACCAAACACCACACTTGGTGATCTCGTCGGCCCCGTGTTCTTTTCGGCCCTTTCGTTCCCATGCCCCCTGTCTAAACAGGAAGTCGCATCTGATTTCTGTAGTCGTGGCCGATAAGGGTACCTGACCTTTGCCGTCTGAGTGTGATGGCCGAAGCGCTCCCCTATGGGACTTGACCTTTGGATTAAGTGGATTGATTTTGTCCCCTTCGACTTTAAACGTTTTTGCCTGTTGCCTTCATTATTTCAACTTTGAATTTTGTCTAAGTGTCAAACCAGGATATAGATAATTACCGGCCGTTGGTGGGGCCGCGACGGGCACCTGCAAGTGTTTGGGTACCCGCTTCGTTTTGAGGCTGTCCCCTCGTTGTCCAATGCCTTGGAGATTTCTCCAAGTGTTGGGCCATGTAGTTTCCTCCGCTTAGTACCGTCGTCGGCCAAATTGGGCGGCGTGGCCGATGAAGGTACCCGTGTGTTGCGCACCTGGGTGCTTGCCTTTCCCTTCGCCTTTGCTTT